TAATCATAAAGAATTACAGGATTTTTTTTTCAACAGCAAACTTTTGTTTATTAAATGTTTCTTCCCTTTGTTCCTCCTACCTACTCTCGACCATCCACCCCTCTCTCTTACAGTCTCTGGTATCTACACTTATCCTCTCTACTATCATATCTTCAGATTTTTCAACTTATGCTATAGAATGCAGGCACTTGGTACATATTGAGTGGGGATATACAGTATATGTCTTTCAAAGTGTGGCTCACTTTGCTCAACCTTAAGTCTTCTATATTCAGCCACTTTGAATCAAATGATATGATCTCATTGTTTCTTATAGCTAAGTTTTTAGAGAGAGAAAAAGCGAGAAATCACCCCCCAGGGGTATGGTCACACTGCAGTTCCTTCTCTTCAATTTTTCTCTTGGGATTTTGGGCACGCATGTGCATGCACCCAGAGTGAGTTTTAAGCTAGCAAGTCCTGGGCTCAAACTGCGGTCAACTACATGGGAGTCCAGCTACATAACCAGTATGCCATGCGCTGATTCATAATTTATGTCTTTTAAAAAGGCAAATATTGAGGGCCATCCCTGTAGCTCAGTGGTTAAGTGCTGTGCACATGGATCCCATGTGGCCATCACAATTTGAATCTTGGCTCCAGTGGCTTGAAAACCATGCTGAGTAGCAGAGGTTAGGTAGTTTGGGTAACAGAACCTCTCTTTCTATTCTTCCATCTTCCCAGCTTTCAGCTAAGCTAACAGCTTCACCCAATATTCCATTGGCATTTTCCTCGTGATGTCTCTGGCCGTCGGCTCTACTCGGGTCTGCTTGTAACCAATGATTTGATGCTTAGGCAAAATAGGGAATGCAATGCTGTATTTTGGTGTACAAAGCCCGACTTCTAAGCTTTCCTACCTTTGCAAACCATAGATTGAAGTCTTCCGAAGGCAAATCATTTATGGAGAGCTCCTAGTAAGGGAACAGATTTTTTTTTTTCCTTTGGTCTCCTCTGTGACTGTGCTTCTTAATGTTTCCAAGTTATCACAAAAAACATTATCACATTAAATGCCAGGTGTTCAGATCACTCAGAGATCACTTTACCTCTCTATACTGACTTGAAAGTAGCTGCTCCTCGTGTGTGTGTTGATTTGCTACGGTGTCAGAGAGTTTGGGTAGCAGGCTTGCCCAGGCCAGTTTAACTCTGGTTAACTTCACTCTGGTTTTCCCTGTTCTGAGACTTCAGGAAGATGAGACTTATCACAAGGCAATGTGAACAATCACAGGAAGTCGTTCATTTCCTGGACTCTAAGTCAGTTCAGATAACCCTGTGTCTTCAACCTGAAGATATTTGACTTATTTCTTGTTTAATTAAATTTATTTAATTTTTTAAACTTATATTTCAAAAATAAGTTTATGGGGCCTATAGGTGGCATAGTGGTTAAGGTGCTGGACTCCCACATGGTGGACTGCAGTTCAAGTCCTCCACCCAGTGGCTTGAAACTCACACCGGGCACATGTGCTTGTGTGCACAAAGTCCCAAGAGGAGAATGGAGGAGAAGGGATTGTAGCGTGGCCATCCCCCCTGGGGGTGATTTCTTGCTTTCTGTCTCTCTAACGAGTATACATACATGCCCAATAGCAAAAATCTCTAAAAAAAAAAAAAAAAAAAAAAAAAATTAAAAATAACTAAAAATCAAGTGGATTAGTGTATGGAGAAAAAAAGTCTTCCTTCTTAAATTTTCCTTTCTACCCAGGTCTTTTCTCTGAGTGTTATTAATCTTCTATGTATCTTCCCAAAATTTCTTTGAGCGTGTACAGTAAATAAACAGCAAAGTATGTTTTTTGCTCCCTTCTCCCTTTGTACACACTATTCTTTACCTGTTTCCTTTTCTGTACAAAAAAAAAAAAATTAAAGACCTCATCTTGGTGACCAGCAGATGACGTAATGTCTACATTGCTGGACTCCCCACGTAGTTGACCGTGGTTCGAGTTCCAGACTTGGGGGCTTAAAAAACGCCAGGCACATGTGCGTCTGTACCCAAAATCCCAAGAGGAGAATGGAGGAGGAGGGATTGTGGCGTGGCCGTCTCCCTGGGGGGTGATTTCTCACTTTCTGTCTCTCTGTCTCTAGCAAGCTCATGTGCCCTTTAGCAAAAAAAACTCTTAAAAAAAAAAAACAAAAACTTATCTTGTAGAGATTTCTCTCAACATTTCTTGTATCTTGGAGGATTCCCTTACAGATATGCCATAGTTTATTAGATGGGAAATTGGCAGATATTCAGGGTTATTCCCGTTTGTTATCAGCTACCTCGTATACTATGCCCATGTGGCAGCACACTCTCCAGCCAAGCTCAGTTTCCCGGGACTACTGTAGACAGAAGAGCACCTGCTGACCCCGAGTCTGACTTTCATTGGGCAGCTGTTACCCTTCATTCTCATATGGGCCTTGAGGTATTAGAAAATAAGAGAAATTGATCTTATCAAACCTTGGAGGTCAGGGGAAGCGTCTCCTTTTGACTTTTCAAGTAGAGGGATTCCGCTGCATATGGCAGCCCTTCAGAAACTTTGGAGACGTCCTTAACCCCGTTTTGTTCCTTCCCCACCTGTGTAGTTAGGAACCGAGTGTTGGTCTTCTGCCGGCCTCTCTCTCGTTGTATTTGTCCCTCTTTGAACCTTACGTCACCATCTTACCCAGCCTAGTACTCACAGCAGGTTCCGTGTGTGATCCTGAGGCTGGTCATAGATCATGTTTATTGAAAACCAGCTGTGTACCAAGACTAGGTTAACTGCTTTTCATGATTAACCACTTCAATTTACACAACTACCCTGTGCAACGATGACTATTTCCAATTTTAAAAACTGAGGCATAAAGGTCATATAGCTAAGAGATGGTGGAATCCAGTAGCTATGAGATAGTCATAGTCTTTTTTTTAAGAATTATTTTATGGGCCAGCAGGTGGCATGGTGGTTAAGGGCGCTGGACTCCCACATGGCTGACTGTGTTTTAAGTCTTGGACCTAGCAGATTGTCTTCTCACTTTCCCTCTCTCTCCCTCTCTGGTCAAATTAAAATAAATAAATACATATACACAAAAATAATTAATTCTTTTTTGGTTTTTTTTTTTTTGGAGAGGTTTTTCTATAGGGTGCATGCACTTGCCAAAAAGACAGAGAGAGACAGAGAGACAGAAAGCGAGAAATCACCCCCCCCAGGGGGGATGGCCACGCTACAATCCCTTCTCCTCCATTCTCCTCTCGGGATCTTGGGCACGCACACACATGTGCCCGAAATGAGTTTAAGTCACTGGGTCCAGGTCTTGAACCGCAGTTGACTACATGAGAGCCCAGCGACATAGCCATTATGCTAACTGCTGGTCCCTAAACTAAATAATTCTTAAAGAGTGTAGACTCTGAAATGAGACAACCTAAGTTTAGATCCTAGCCGTGCCACGTACCAGCTGTGTAACACTGGGCTTAACGCCCCCTTCCTCCGTTTCCTCATCTATATAATGAAGATATGATAGTACGTACAACAAAGTAAGAGTGTTAATTTTTTTTTTCAGAGGTGTTTGCTATAGGGCGTGTGTGCTTGCTGAAAAGACAGAGAGACAGAAAGTGAGAAATCACCCACTCAGACGGGGATGGCCATGCCTCAATCCCTTCTCCATTCCCTTCTTGGGATTTTGGGCATGTATGCACATGCGCCCTGTGTGAGTTTTAACCTGCCGGGTCTGGGACTTAAACCATAGTCACCCATATGGGAGTCCTCCAGTGTAACCATTACGCCATCTGCTGGTCCCAAGAGTGGTAAAAAGTTTGAGAGAGGGGCCAGCAGTTGGCATGGTGATTTAGGTGTTGGACTCCCATGTGGCTCACTACAGTTCAAGTCCTGGACCTGGCAACTTAAAAATCACACCGGGGGGGGGGGGGGGGGGGGGGGGGCGGAGGCGCGAGTGGCTATGTCGCTGGACTCCCACGTTTTCGACCGCAGTTCGTGTCCTGGACCCGGTGGCTTAAAACCCATGCCGGGCCTGTGTGTGTGCGTGCCCAAGATCCCAAGAGGAGAATGGAGGAGAAGGGATTGTGGCGTGGCCATCCCCTCTTGGGGGTGATTTCTCGCTTTCTGTCTCTCTGTCTCTCTCTGTCTGTCTGGTGAGCACAAGCGCCCTATAGTGAAAAACCTCTCAAAAAAAAAAAAATCACACCGGGTACATGTGCATTTCTGAGAGGAGAATGGAGGAGAAGGGATTGCAGTGTGGCCATCGTCCAAGGGGGTGATTTCTCAACTTTTCCTCTGTCTCTCACCTACAAGTACACTTGCCCTATAGCCAAAATAAAAGGTCTTTATCACACTTTGGCCTATGACTATTTAACCTCATTTAATTTTCTCACTGAGAAGAAAGGGAAATTGAAGATATAATACTTACTACTGTACTTCTCTAATTTGTTAATAGTGTTTTATATTAATAGAATTTTTTAAAGTTTATTTCTTAGTGAGAAAACCCCTGCCAGGTCGCCAAGCTGCGGTTCACTCGGCACCATTAACAACCCTGGATTATGTGTAATTCCATGCCCAGTGTAGCCAGGGAGGTGCCCAGACTCGAACTGGAAGCCTTCCCATGTGGGGTTGCCTCAGAGCTTCACGCTCTACCACTGCACTGCCATCTGGCCCCGGTACATTATGCGATCTCTACTTTGACTTCTTTTTTTCTTGCAAGAGGGTATGTGCGCTTGCCCGAAAGAGACAGAGGAAAGGAGGAGAAAGAAAGCACGTCCCAGCGGGGCGTGGTTACGCCTCAATCCCTTCTCCAACCTCCTCCATCACTTTTGTAACTGGGGCATGCAGACACAAGCCACTGGGGCTGGAATCTGAACCGCAGTCAGCCATGTGGGGTCTGGCTCCCTTAGTCACCAGGCTACAGGGTGATTAACACAGGTCTTAAAGCTGACATTTATGTCTATGTTTACTTAACAATATTATAACCACGTTCTAGTATTTGGTACGAATGCGTTTTCTGTTTCTCTTCAGTACCAGGACCCCCTAGCGACAATGGCATCAGTATTACCATGATCTTGATGGCCTGGATGGTTATCGCGGTGATCTTATTCTTACTGAGACCTCCTAACCTAAGAGGATCCAACCTACCTGGAAAGCCAACCAGTCCTCATAACGTAAGTGTTGTGGGCTATGAGTCCTTTTTGAGTGGGGGCATATATGTGGCTTGGGGAGGGGAAGAGTTTGTTTGGACTGAACTACCTAAAATAGCAAAATAAACGTTTAACTCATGAAATAAGTTCCTCTTATGCAGTTTTTTTTTTTTTTCTTGAGAAGTTTTTTGTTATAGGGAGCATGCGCTTGCCAGAAAGACAGAGAGAGACAGAGAGATAGAAAGCAAGAAATCACCCCCCAGGGGGATGGCCATGCCGTAATCCCTTCTCCTCCATTCTCCTCTTGGGATCTTGGGCACACACGCCCACGTGCCCGGCGTGAGTTTAGGCCACCGAGTTTGGAACTTGAACCATGGTTGACTACAATGGGAGCCCAGCGATATAGCCATTATGCCAACTGCTGGTCCCAAAAAGCGTTTTCTTGAATGAGATGATGGTGCCATACTGGTACAACTGGACCTACATCAGGGAGATCCTGGATTTGTGTCCAAGACCTTCCTACACACACTGGGCATATATGCCAATGATCCATGCCGACTGATACTCAGGATGGGTCACAGGAGGAAGTCCCCTCTGAGGATGGGTGTCTCTCTCTCTGTCTTTCTCATGAAATTAAAACAAACAAACAAACAAAAAAAGCAACTTCCGGGAGCAGCAGATGGGGTAATAGTTATGTTGCTGGACTCCTATGTAGTCAACCATGGTTTTAGTCCCAACCTGGTGGCTTAAAACTCATGCCAGGCACGTGTGCGTGTGTGCCCAAAATCCCAAGAAGACAATGGAGGAGCATGGCCATCCCCCTGGGGATGATTTCTCACTTTCAGTCTCATTGTCTCTCTCTGGTGAGTGCATGCATCCTGTAGCAAAAATCTCTTTAAAACAAAAACAAAACAAAACAAAAAAAAAAAACAAGAAACTTGTAATTATGTTGGCCAGTATCTCCAATATAGTGCTAAATAGTAATAGAGATAGTGTACATTCATGTCATGACGGTCTCTAATTGGATATTTGATTATGATAAGGTAGTATTCAATTCTAATACAAATGTGTATTCAGTTTTTTCTAGTGGTCTTCTATGCCCATGCATATGGTTTTATAATTTTTCTTCTTTTTTTTTCCACACATGCACACATGCCCGGCATGAGTTTAAGCCACCAAGTCCGGGACTTGAAGTGCGGTCAACTACATGGGAGTCCAGCGACATAACCATTACGCCAACTGCTGGTCCCAACAAGAAATCTACTTTTAATAACCTGACTTAGGGGGCCGACAGGTGGCATGGTGGCTAAAGGTGCTAGACTCCCACATGGCTGACTGTGGTTCGAGTCCTAGACCTCATGGCTTATTTTGTCACTTTCTCTCTCTTTCTCTCCCTCTCCCCTTCCCTCCCTTTCTTGTCAAATTAAAATAAAAACATGAATAAAGTTGAATCAAATAATTCTTTTAAAAAAATAATAACCCGACTTAGGGTCAGCCTTGTAATATAGTGGTTAAGCCCTGTGCTGGATCTCACATGGCTGACCATGGTTCACATCCCGGCCCCAGTGGCTTGAAAAGCACATTGGGTGCCTCTGCATGCACGCCCCAAATCCTGCCGGGATGGAGAAATGGAAGGGAGAGGATTATGGTATGGCCTCGCCTCATTGAGGGTTGTGGTCTTTCTCCCTTTCATTTGTTCTCCCTGGCAAATGTGCACACTCCCTGGCAATAAAAAATAATAATAGCCTTGGGACCAGCAGTTGGCGTAATAGCTATGTCACTGGACTCCCATGTGGCCGACTGCAGTTTGAGTCCCGGACCCGGTGGCTTAAAACTCACGCCAGGCGCGTGTGCGTGCGTGCCCAAGATCCCGAGAGGAGAATGGAGAAGGGATTGCGGCTTGGCCATCCCCCCTGGGGGACGATTTCTCGCTTTCTGCCTTTCTGTCTCTCTCTGTCTTTCTGGCAAGCGCCTGCGCCCTATAGCAAATACCTCTCAGATAAATGAATGAATGAATGAATGAATGAATGAATGAATGAATGCCTGAATTGGAAGCTATTAAAACTGATACAGGGAGCAGGATGACGAAACCGTTGTAAAAACGCTATGGCCGAAAGGAGGAGGACATGGAGAAGGGCGAGGCGTGGCCGTTCCCACGACGGTGCTCCCTTCCCTCTCTCTGTCTCTGGCAAGTGCACATGCCCTCTCACAGAAAATGTGCTCCACTCTGGGAGGCAGTCCCACATGGGAGGGCTCCTGATTCAAGCCTGGAGACTTCCCTGAGTAGGCTGGGCAGGTGCTTGCGGTGATCTGGGGCTGGCTGAACACTGCGGTGGAGTGATGTCAGGACCCTGTTTAGGGTGCTCTTTTTCACCCCTTTCTCTCACACTCATAGAAAAAAAAATTTTTTTTAACCTGACAGAAATGCTGGGGCCTGCAAAGCATGGTGGCTAAGAGCGCTGAACTCCCACATGGCCAATCATGGTTCAAGTCCTGGACCTGGTAGCTTGCTTTCTCACTCTCTCTATCTCTCTCTCACTCTGTCCCTCTCTTGTCAAATTAAATAAAGTTAAATAAAGTAATTTTTTAAAAAAGTGATAGAAATGCAAGATTATATTCTCCTGGCCCTTAGTTCATTGTAGGCTAGCAATTCAAGGAATAGTAATCCTATCTACCCTAGGAATGAAGAAAAAAACGTATTGACTCTAATTCCAAGTAGAAATATTGATCACCTTCAACTAGGGCTTCGTGTATCTTGTCAGGGCAAATACATAAAATTTTCCAAGGGACCAGCAGTTAGCTGGGCCTGGCAGATAGTGTGGTAGTTAAGGGTGTTGTACTCCCACACGGTGGACAGCGGTTCAAGTTCCAGACCTGGTGGCTTCCTTTCTCAATTTGCCTCTCTCTCTCTCACTCTCACTCTGTCCCTTTCTGGTCAAATTAAAATAAATACATAAGGGGCCAGCAGGTAGCATGGTAGTTAAGGTGCTGGAATTCCCACATGGCCCACTGTGGTTCAAGTCCTGGACCTGGCAGCTTGCTTCCTCACTCTCCCTCTCTCTCTGGCAAAACTCATGTGAAAAAAATAATAAATAAATAAATTACATAAATAAAATAAAGTTCAATAAAAGAATTCTTAGAAAAAATCTCTAGGTTCACTTTGAAGGTACTGTACTCAGTCAATCCCTTTAGCAGAAGGAATGAAAACACCTTCATTGATTTAAAGATTACTCCTGGAGCTGGCAGGGGGAATCATAGCCCTGTTACACAAAACCACAAGTACTCAGTACTTCTTCTATACCACAGGGAAGAATGAGACAGTTGTGGGAGAATCACAGCGTTGGGCCCTTGTTCCCTTGCGTAAAAGCATGTGAAAAGTCCAAAGAAGTATTTAGTTTGGGATGGGCATCCGAGAGGCGTTGCTACTCGTTCTTATTAAATGCATTAGATTGGCTGTACTAGGATTGACGAAATCATTTCAATAATTACTTTCTTTGTACCACCAGGGACAAGATCCACCAGCTCCTCCTGTGGACTAACTTTGTGACACAGGAAGTGAAAATAGCTAACACCTTGCACGACCAAATGAACGAAGACGACCGGAGTACTCTTAACCCCGTTAGAACTGTCGTTCCTCTTCCATCTGCGATCCGGGATGGTATTGTTTTCATGAGCTTCTAGAAATTTCACACGCAAGCTTATTTTTGCTTCCTGTCTTATCACCATTCTTCTTTACAGTATATTTGAGTAAATGATTCTATTAAAAGAGTTCCATGGGGCTTTTTTGGTTGTCCTGAACTTAGACATTCCACTCATTTTGTTTGTAACTGTGATCCTAAGTTTTGTGATGATTTCTGGCTTGATTGAAGGAAATCTGAAATCTCTGCATTTAAATATTTTGAATAGTTTTGGTAGATTTTAAATTGCCTTTTTTTCCCTCCCCATAAGGTATTTATAAAGTTATTTGGGGTTGTCTGGGATTGTCTGAAAGAAAATTAGAACCACACACTGTATTTCCACTTACCTTGACAGTTTATTAGGCAGTTTTCTGTAGTTCCTGGAACTACGATGGCTTGGGTATTTTCCAAATCGAAGCTGAGATCTGTATTATCCATTAAAACTGGTTTATATGGGTAGGGTAGGAGGGGAAGAGAAATGAAATGGTTGTTTATTAATTTTTTTACTCCCATTAAAGATGTCTAATGATAAAAGTTTAAATAAACATGATTGATCAATGTGGTAGACGATTTACAGTCCATTTTGTGACATTTGTAAGCCACTGTACGCTAGCTAGCCTTACGAGATTCATGAGAGAAAAAGTTCATTTTTTTCTGCCTTTGCCACGTATAATCTATACAGTAATAACTTAAGCTATATTTTATGTTTTAAATGAGTGCCTCTCAAGAAGTTTCTTTTCTGTCCTAACACTTCCCTGTTTAAATGAAACTATCTTAAAATTATAATGGGGCTTGGTAGGTTGCTGACATTTGAATCCCTATTTACTTATTCCATCCTTTTATTTAAAGAAAAACTTAGAATCTTTTGTTATCCTGACCTTTACATTTTGGTAATAAATTCTTGTTTTCTTCCAAGGGAAAAGGAGGAAAATGAGAAATAATCAAGGATATTTTCCTCACCCCTTAATCACATTCTGGTTTGGTAATGAGATGAGAAAGAAGCATTAATGTAAATGAAATTTCAAAATGTATTAACAAAACTAAAGGACTGCATTATTTTGCTCAAAAGTTGAGCACATACTATTGTATTTTGTAAATGTCTGCATTACCTATGTGATTATGGAACTTTATGGGTTTTTTCTGGCAAGTGATCGTAGATGATTTACGGGGCTAGAAAGTATTTTGCTATCAATGCGAAGGGCTTTCCCCCTTTAGGTCAGTTTAGATTTTCACTGTTAGATCAAGAAATGACTTGTATGAATTGAATACATAACTCTGTAATATTGTACTGCTTCATAGTCGCTGGGACAGTTGTGTGACACTCATAGGGAATTTTCTCCCCTTATTATGATTACATTGTAGGCCATAGACATTGTAAGGGCATCATTCCGTTATATAATCAAGTATTGACTGCTTCATGTGTTCTTGGGCATCTTAGCTTTGAGCTTCACTTCCGGAAATAGTATAACCAGCTCAGTCACTTGTGCTGAGAGAGGGTAACGTAACACAGGTAAGTTAAACCCTAGGTAAACGGACACACAGGGTTTTGGTCTCGCAGTGGTTTCCCGGGAGCCATCCCAGCCCTATACCCGGTAAACTCATTGAAAGGAGAAAGGACCAGAACAGCGTGAGATGGAGCTAAATCTTGCCCTAGCCCCTTGAATTTTGAAGGCTTGCCTCTATATCCTAACAGTTGTTCTTTAAACCGCTAGAAAGCCAGTCCCTGGTGGAGATTCTGTTGTTTTTGAATTTATGGCTCACGAATAATTGAGAATTGGCTTTGGTTGAAGAAGTGGCCTACACATGGATACAGAATGTTTTAAGTATTAGAGGATTCTTAATCCTAGTTCTTCCGTTCTGACACACATAATTGACGTTATGTCTAAATAGATTAGACCTTCCCTATATGGAGCATCTATTTAGTCACAAAATTCTTAGGGAAGTCTTTAGTCTTCGGATTTTTGCTTGTAAAATTTCTCTGCATTTTTGAAAAAGATAGTATATAGCACATAAAGTGTTCTCATTAGCCTAACCAGTAATTTATATTCTATTTAATTCTTAAAGCTTCTACACGTGGCCTTTTTGTTGAGCACACTTTTTCATCATTACATGGCTTGTAAACGTTCACCTGAACTGTGGCTACAGTCCTTTTAAAATAATCTGGAGAAAAGATCGATAAAGCGTACATTTTCATTACTTTCGGTTCGGAAACATCCTACAGTACCATTAAGAGTTTATTTTGTTTTAGAGTCATTTAATGTTCTTTCATGCGAAACAGTGGTGGTTTTTTGTCCCCCCACCTTCCTTTCCATATGGAAAAGATCAACATTGGAGCTGTGTGTAGGAAAGGAATTTATGATGTGTCTATCCAAGCACTACCCACGGGCAGCAAGTCCTACTTGCATGGGTTTTCCCAAGTAACTCTTGAGCACCGCTATTCCATGGTCACCTTTAGTGTCTATGTGCTATGCGATATGGTAGTGTCTATGGAATTCCCACTATCTTAAATTTTCAAAGAAACCTTGGAAATCCATCTTTCTAAACCGAAGTCTATCACTCTAAGTGGATATGTGTTCAAATTTGACCAGCTCAGTTTAAGACCCAAAACAGCAACCCGAAGAAGGAAAAATGAAGAGCTCACAGTTAATGGGCAAAATTTTTGTTGCTGCAATGGTAGGTTTAGTCTTACTATATAATATTTCTAAGTGAAAAATCATATGTATTTGGTACCATGTCTGATGATTACTTTGTTCAAAGCAACAGTGGTCATGTGATCTCCTAAATGTCAATTGCTGTTTTGAATGTTTAAATCATGCCAAACAAATCATGTCTGTGCCATCCAGGGTTTATTGTTAATCTTTTACTGAGTACTTGGATTGGGATAAAGGGCTTGTACTATGCACTTTTTATGAATAAATAAATAGAAAATGTTAGTAACACTGTTTTCTGTTTGCCTTTTGTGGGAAGAGAAACAAGGGTCTTTTGCTACTAAGCAGTGTTAACCATCCTATGTGAAATCACACTCCCCCCTCCAGGAGGGTCAAAATCAGTGTGATTAAGCAGCTTGGGAATTTTGGAGAATGGTTCTGACATGTACGTTTTAAATTGACATTTAATGTTTCTATGTATAAATAAGTTTATGTAAAAAACCAACATATTAAACATTGTATAATATGAAGAAAAATGGAAAAATAATTTTATTTGTTGTAACAAGGCAAACTACATTACTGACAGAGAGTAAGAGATAAATCACCTCCCAAGGGAGATGGCCATGTTGCAATCCCTTCTCTATTTTCTTCTTGGGATTTTGGGCACGTAGACGCTGCCGGGTCCAGAACTTGAACTGCAGTCGACTACGTGGGAGTTCAATGAGTAACCATTGCCATATCTGCTGGCCTCCCTGAATATATCTTGTAAATTTTATTCATGTCAATTTTATCCAATGCTTCTTGCAAAATTTAGTAGTCCTGTGAAATATTAAAGTTGCTTTTAAAAGAATCAAATTCACTTATTTATATGACATCTTCTGTTAAGAATTCAGAAGCTTCCAACATAGGCCATAATATAATGTTTCTCTGAACTTCAGACGTGGCAAAAATATGTATCAAATGAGGGAAAACAGAATTGAGGATTCTTAATCATTATAGGGGACTTCTCCAAAACCAGAATTCAGTTTATCCCATTGGCACTCTGGACAGTTTTTTGCTTGGGTAAAATGAGTCATAGCAAGGTTTTGTTCTGGGTGAAATATAAGCCTTTCTTTTGCGAAGTGGACTGTTCTCAGGCAGATCAATTTTAGGAAAAGGTACCTGTGAAATTTGAGAAACTGGAAATTAATTCCCTTAATTCTGTTAGAAGCAAAACTAACTTTCACTCTTACAAATCAGGATAGTGTTACCTGTGGTGTGGGGTGAGCTGGAGGGGAAAGGATTACCAAATTCTTTAAAAAAAAAAAAGTATATTATGAAAATTCCTTAATATTGACAATAATAAATCCATTACTTGCTAACATAAATAGCATATTTATATACAAAATTGCTATGTTTTCCAAATAAAACTATTTAAAATTAATTTTATTTTTTTTAATTTTTAAATTTTGGTATAGGGCACATGTGCTCACCAGAAAGACAGAGAGAGGGACCAGCAGTTAGTGTAATGGCTATATTGCTGGACTTCCATGTAGCCGACCGTGGTTCGAGTCCCAGACCTGGTGGCTTAAACTCACGCCGGGCACGTGTGCGTGTGTGCCCAAGATCCCGAGAGGAGAATGGAGGAGAAGGGATTGCAGCATGGCAATCCCCCCGTGGGGGTGATTTCTCGCTTTCTCTCTGCCTCTCTCTTTCTGGCGAGCACACACACCCTATAGCAAAAATCTCTCCAAAAAAAGTAACATATTAATACGATCATAAAAATGTTTTAAACTCATAGACCTCCTGAAAGTGCCTCAGGAACTGTCTGTGCTTCCCAGTCCACATTTTGAAACTGCTCCCCTACTTCTAAAGGTCCATTCATTGGTCGATGGTCTGATTTAATTTATGAGGTTTTACTGACAGTCCTAAAAATTATGATCATTGGGGGCAGCAGGTGGTATGTTGATTAAGGTACTGGACTCCCACATGGCTGACCATGGCTGCTGTCCTGGACCCAGTGGTTTGAAAATCACACCAAGTGCATGTGCTTGGGTGCTCAAAATCCTGAGAGAACGGAAAAGTGGTTGCAGTGTGGCCATTCCTTTTGAGGGATACTTTCTCATTTCTTTCTCTGGTGAGTGCACACAACCCATGGCAAAACAAACAAACAAAACAAAAACCCAAACCTGGGAACCAGCAGTTAGCGTAATGGCTATGTCGCTGGACTCCCACGTGGTCGACCGCGGTTCGTGTCCCGTACTCGGTGGCTTAAAACTCACGCCGGACGCGTGGGCGTGCGTGCCCAAGAGCCCTAGAGGAGAATGGAGGAGAAGGGATTGCGGCGTGGCCATCCCCCCTGGGGGGTGATTTCTCACTTTCTGTCTCTATGTCTCTCTCTTTCTGTCTGGCGAGCGCACGCGCCCTACAGTGAAAAATCTCTCCAAAAAAAAAAAAACCCAAACCTTACAGACTATGATTATTACCAAAAGTACTCACAAAGAATGAGATGAATCCTATGCAGATGTTGAATTCAAAACAAAGGGAAGAGTAATAGAGGGTGGCTTTCATTACAAAGCCAGCTGTTAAAGATCACCATCTCTGTATATGCCATGTTCAAGGGGACATCTCTACTTTGGTGCTTCTCAATCAATTACGTGTATTTCTTTCTGACCTTTGGAAAAAGGAACTGAGTCCTAATCCATTTTGCATTTTTAGCTTCTAGGATGATGTCTGATGCACTATGGGCGCTAAATAAACGTTTTAGTGGGATGAATACATGGAACGGCACAGAACGCACAGAAACCTACAATCCCATTGCACTTCCTATCATCCTCAGCAAACCATATTTAACATTCATGTCTTAAGGTTGCCATCAATCTGTGGTGTTTTAATGTGCCTTTATAAACTCTTCATCACTTTCCTTATGACGTGTTTAAAAACGGCTTCTGATTTCAAGTACGAAATGATGTCACCTGATGTAATTCTTAATAGAGTAAGGGAAATGAAAAGCCATGATTGGGCCTGGGTTCTTTTTCTTCTTGGATTTGAGGTTTACGATGGACCAAAAGAAAAAATGTTGGGAGTGGCAAAAGAGAGACAGAACTGCACTCCACGGGGGCAGGGGCCTTGCGTTATTTCAGGCTTCCTCACACTCGCATGAGGCCCGCACCCTAGGGCCCCAGTGCGGCCGCAGGCGTGTCCTGGAACGCCGGCGGGAAGGCTTGGGTGTGGGTGTCTGCTTCTCCCGCCAGGACGCAGGGCGGGGACGCGAGCTGGTCCAGTCATGACGGTACTCCGCATCCTCCAGACGTGAGGCGCCTGCTTCCCAGAAGCCGCAGGCGGGAGGGCCTGACTAAGCTCTGGGCCGCGGGCCCGGGGCACGCCCGGGAGGGGAGTAATCCGCGGACCCGACCCAGCCGGGCAGAGAGGGCCGCACGCCCAGCCCGACCCTACACGCTGCGCGGGAGGCCGGAACGGGAACCAGGGCCTTCCGGTCATCTCGGCTGCAGCCGGGGCGCCCGTCCGGGCCCACCCGCCC